CCCATTGATTATCTGCTATGTGTTACCAGTCAGTTAATGGAAGAGTTAGGGTTCAAGCCCATGTTTTCCTGACTCCAAGATGTATATTTCTCCCACTTAACACTGCCACTTCTCTGAGCAGGTACAATCTCCTTTTAAATAGTTTTTGCTCCTGCCAGCATTCAAACATCTTTCCCTTACATGAACACATAATCAGCAGATACTGTAAATAAGAACCCCAGTCAGTGAACACATGATCAGACAAGAAAAAAACCGTAAGTATATCAGTGCTTAGAATACTGTCTTTTCCAGCGAGGGAAACTTCCTATTGAAATGAGCCTTTTCTTTTGGAATGGAGGTCATCTTTGACTGAGCTGAGTCTAAAATGGAAAATAAAAATGCAAAACAGCCATTCATTCTACTAAATGTAAGTAAAAATACAAAAATGTCCTAAAAATGAATATAGATAGATGTGCGGTTATCACAACACCTAGATTAAATAATAAAAGTTTACAGGAGCCATGTTTCTTATCTATCTGAATACATATACTTTTCTATAAAACTTAAAGGGTCTTTATTTTTCCTCTAACCCTTCCTCTTGTTTTTTAAAAAGCAGATGCCTTTATGGCTGAAAGTCATTTTGAGAATTACAGTGGCTTGATCCTTAACTGGAACATCTGCCCTGCACAGTCTGAACGCAACGGTTCAGGAAAACTACCAGGGTAAATCTGCCTGCATTACTGTAAGTTATTAGAGCCTTTTTTTTGTGAGCAGGAACACAAAACCTTTGCAAACATGTTGATACTACTGAATCCAAAGTAAACGATTTCAGGGCAATATTAATATATATTTTTTAGTTATCCACTTAGAATAATTTGTGTATATTAAGATAGCAGAGAGTACAAAATACATACATGCAACTAAATCTGAAACTTTGGGGATGCTTAGTGTATCTAAAGCACTTCCTACTTTTGGGGAGTCATGATTCTAACAATTAGCAACATTTATATAAAATAACACAACAAAGAAATTCCACTGACACATCTACTACCAAAATCAATTACCAAATGGACAGTGGTGGGACAATGTATTAGCAAAAATAGGCAAGTAAATAAGTTACTGAGTGTCCATATGTACCTTGTATTTTTCATGAGGTCATTCATTCATCCTGGCAATATATATTTGTTGAGCATCTCCTTTGTGCTAAGCTTTGAGAATTTAGAAGCAAACAAGACAAACTTCTTCTACTCAAAGAGCTTACTTACATCCTGGTTCCAGGCCTCCTCCTCAGAGTCCACACTAGAACTTTACCATATCAGTCGGTCACTGTGAAGAACCATACTACACCTGAGGTAAGAGGGATTAGTGGAAAAGATACTAAAAGCAAGTAGGTGGATAGATGGAAGGCTAGAGACAGGGTAGGAAAGGCGGTGGAGAAGGAAGGGATGAGGAAAGGAAAGGAAACAATGGTGATGGGGGAAAGAACACGAGCAGGAGGACAAAGACAAAGGTGTACCCAGCAGGCTTTCACATCAGAAATGCTAGTTCCAATCTGTACATTGCTTCTTCTACATGTGTGAGCTCTAGGAGATGGCTTGCCTGCTTTAAGCCATGCTTCCGCTCCCTTTAAAACGAGACTATGGCTGTGATGAGGCTTACATAAGACAATATATATATAAAAACAATCTGTAACTCATAAAGTACTTTAGAAATAGAAGAGATTATTATTATTGTAACATTATTATTGCTAAATACATCAATATAATTGCATAGACTATTTAAAGTGATATACAAGCATGATAAACATTTTCCTGTTTATTCTAAGTAAAGAGAAAAGCATATAGAGGTAGATGATGATCTTGGCCACAGCCACTAATAGTAATAATAACAGTTGAAATATTGGGAGGAAAGGATTAGATTTAACCTAACACTATTTAATTTTGAGTAAGCACTCAAATTTTCCAGAGAAATCTGAAATGCCATTTGATACATCTTCAAAACCATGTTATACAGATAGGAAACCTTCTGGCAAGTACTTTTGAACCTTCAGACTGTGAGAGAAAGGAATAAGCGCTGTAAAAACATTTAATTTTTTCTAGTTATCTGTATATGAAAAATCTGGTGTCTATATATAGCCAACTTTTATTTTACTATTTCTATATAACTGGAATGTATATTTTTTCATAGTTATATGAAAAGGGGGCTGACAGCCTCAGAAACAATTGGGCTATATTAGATAGTACAGCACAGTCTTGTATCAGAGATAAGTTTTTGAAATCTTTGCTCTGCAAACTAAGTTGTGTTAAACTAGACATCCTCAGTGAACTTCTTTCCCTCTGCTGCCAATATATATAGCTCTGTACCTGCCTCTCAGAGGCAATGAGAGTATCTTTACAAAATCAGCCTTGTGTAAAGGGCAACTGTTAATATTTTTGTTAATGACAGTAACAATTTGGTAGATGAGTTGATATATTTCCTTTGACTTATTCCTTTTTTTTTTTTTAAGATTTTATTTATCTATTTGACAGAGAGAAAGAACACAAGTAGGCAGAGTGGCAGGCAGAGAAAGAGGGAGAAATAGGCTCCCCACTGAGCAGGGAGCCCGATGGGGCTGGATCCCAGGACCCCGGGACCATGACCTGAGCTGAAGACAGCCGCTTAACCGACTGAGCCACCCAGGTGCCTCTGCTTTGACTTATTCCTGAAGACAGAATTATAAGACATTATTTGGCTCAGCTTGAAATTCCCTTGATTTCAGCTCAGTTCATGATCTCAGGGTCCTGAGATGGAGCCTGGTTTTGGGCTCCACACTCAGCAGGGGGTCTGCTTGAGATTCTCTCCCTCTGCCCTTCCCTCTGCTCACTCTGTCCCTCTCTCTAAATAAATAAATAAGGAAATACAATATATTTTTTAAAGACATTATCTGGCCTGCCTATAAAACCTGTTTGAAGCAAGTTCTATACAACTTCTGGAAAGTAAATGTTGTTAAAACATACCAAAGTAAGGTGTTCGAGGTCCTATGCCAAATTACTTACTAGCCTTTTTTATAGCTAACTAACTTATAGCTATCTAATTAGATTGTATCAGCAAAATCCAAGTAAGTTTCCTTATTAAAAGCCTAAGATGACTTTATAATAATAATAACAGCAATTATTTCAATTCACTACAGCTCCAGTTAGTACATACAAGCCACTCAGCTAGTCATTTTACAAAAGCCACATCATTTAATCTCAAAATTACATTGTGAAGTAGATTGGTATTGTCACCTTTTTACAACAAAGTAAAATGAGACCCAGGACAGCTTGTGACCTTTTCCTCAATGACACAGCTAAGAAGTGGTAGACCATATATGAAATACAAATCTGTCTGGCTTATCTCCATCTAAATCCTCTGAATCATTTCTTTCTCAATACATTTTCCCTGGGGATATAATGGTTTAATGACACATCTCCATTAGAAACATTCCACGAGAACCTAAGACCTCTAAAATGTAAAGCTCTAAAAACTGTATGTATATATTTTTCACTAATTTGACTCAAGATGCCAAGAGTACACTATATTGGGCTAAGAGCTTCAAATACAGAAAAGTCCCCTTGATAAGCCACATCTTACCAAAAAAAGAAAAAAAAAAAAAACAACAAAAACCTCCAAAACCCCAAAACACACAACAACCTAGGAAGTACATAAAACATAATTGTCCCATCTTTGAAAAACATATGTAATTTATATATTCTAAAGTATCCTAAAGTATGCTAAAAATCTATTAATAAGATTGAAGGTTGATTTCTCTACCTATCTATTACTAAGCAGGTTGACTAAATGGTTTTGGCTTCAAACTCCAGCATCTCGAATTGATTTTTACAGATAAAAACTCACCATTGGTGAGTTGCTACTTTCTCAGGTCACAAGTTGAGCTGGAAGAACAAGGGGAATGAGCAGAAATGAAAAATCTTGCAAAACTAAACTTTGTACTATATATTACCTAATCCCTTATTATGTGATATGCAAGAGTTATATAATAAAGGTTACCCGTAAAGTTCTACACTTTAGAGACTGCTAATGTATAAATGTAGATAATTTTTCCTTAATGCTTTATAAATCTAAAAACTCTATCTGAGGTGTTAGTGTGTACCTATGAGTCTAAAATACTTAAGAACTTTCACTAAGGCCCTTGCTGTTGAGACTCCTTATCCTCCACCTGCCTATCCTCATGCAAGAAAAATATGCAAAAATCCATTAGATTATACCAAATAAGTATCACTGGTCATAATTCAAGTCCACTTGGTTGTGGGACCCATCTCCCTAGGTTCTTTCCTAATTAGATATTCAACCAAAACTTTCTCTTTGTAGTTCTGTGTCAATATGCATATCCAAAGCCTAACTCCAAGGGAGGAGGGAGAAGACTAGAACCTACTCAAGGTTTAAAAAAAAAAAAATGACAGGCACGGCTAGACTAGGGTGAGAGAGAGAAAGAGTCAGCCAAGAGCCTGCCCACTGGCTGGGAGATGGGAACCTAACCTTGCTAGGCAAATCCTAGCTTGCAAGCTGTGCAAAATAAGAGCAGACATGAAGATAAGAATTCACGCAATTCAGATTAAACATATTTGTTCTTCAACTGTAGTCAATCTTGAGAGTGTTACTCTTAGAGGCAGGCAGGTATTCCACCATAAAATCAAGATATATATCCTACTCGTCACATAATTTGGTCAGATAGGACAAAATTAAAAACTTATCAAGTTCTTGCATTCACTGAAGGCATCAATAACAGTAACACCGCCTCCCTCTCCCAAAGCACTAAGAAGCAGAGAATTCAGAAAAGTTTTTTGAACTTGTCTTGGTATTAACTAATCTACAAGAGAGTGAGTGATGGAAACAGAAGAGGGGAAATTAAACCACCAGTCACAACTCTAAAAACGGTTTGTATCCTTACTACCACACTTCATCACACATGCAAAGCATTATTTATGAACTGTTCTATTAAAGAAGGGCGGGGAGGGGGGAGCCCTCACCCCTTACTTTACCTGCGCCTACCACGAGGGCCCGGGGCTCACAGCTGCGGATACAGTGCAGCAGGCAGTTGGAGCGAATGTTGGAATTGAGGAAGGCCACCACGCAGCCCAGCTTGGCCAAGCCGAACCATACGTGGACGAAGTCAGGCTCATTGCTCATCAGAAGAGCCACGGTGTCCCCCCTTTTCAGCGTGGAATGGTTCAGGAAGACGTGGGCCACTCTGCTACTCCTTTTATCTACATCCTGATAGGTGTGGATGTCCCCCTCATAGATGATGAAAGGTTTCTGGGGCTGCTTCTTGGCAAGACTCAGGAATTTATCCAGGACTGTGAACAGCTCCCCTTTCAGGACGTACTTCTCCATCCGAATTCCATAGCGTACCACCTTCAGCAGGAACCAGAAATCGTCCCAGAAGTAAGGAAACAGGAGTTTCTGCAAGAAATGCAGGAAGACTATTCCAGCCGCTAGTCCTGTTAAACATGACAGGAGCATGGAGGCCACCGGGATAGAAGGCAGCTCGGACACCAGCCCTTCTCTCCAAATGCAGCTCTCCGCAGAGACCACAGGTCGTCGGGGCTACAGCCTGGCACCTGCAGGTCGCGCCAGCCTTTCCGGGACGGAGAGGGTAATCTTGAGAAACAGAATCAGAAGTGTGCACAGTAGAGGTCGCTTGGGTCACCTGGCGGATGAGGGGAGAGCGAGCGAAATCAACGCGGGCACTCGCAGGGTCCACGGAATCTAGGAGCCCAGATCAGCGCCCCTGCCTGGCAAAAGCCCCGACGGCGGCCCGCGCCCTGCGAGGTCCTCTGGCCCTCTCCAGCCCTCTCCCCGCAGGCTGGGTCAGTTCCCGGAGCCTCTGCGGCCCTCAACAAGTCCCACCACCCACAGGAGAACTATGTCCAGAGGGCAGATGCTCTTCTTCTGAGGGTAGACTTTCCGGCGGCTGCAACTTGTAGGCTGAACTCGAGCCTGGAGAAGGCGGGGTAGCGACGCCTGAGAAAGGCAGCGGCTTCCCCTCTTAACCCGCCAGAAACCGCGCGGAGGTGTCTGGGCCACGTCTCGGTCGGGGATGCCCCAGGTCTAGAGAGATCCGAGTCCGAGCCCCGCCCCCGCTCCGCCCCGCGCCCCACGGCCGGGCTCCCAGGGACTCCCGGCCGACGCACCGGTCCCGGGCTAGCTGCTTCCCCGCGATCGCCACGCGGGCAGGGAGTGGTTGCCTCCTGGCCCGGTCGCAGATCCCCTCCGACTGTTCTCTGGCTGGTGTATCTCTCCCCCGAGCCACCCCGGAGGTGTTGTCCGCTTACCGCCCGCCTCCAGGCTTCCAGCCAAGCCCTGTTCCGAGCACCGCCGATGGAATGGCTCGGGCCCCTTCGCCGCCTCCTCCTCGGGCGCGCGTCCCACCACCCCGTCAAGTGTGCAGTGACTGGGGCCTCTGCGGGAGAAAGGACCGTCCCTGGAGAGAAAGTCGGGAGCCCAGAAGTCGTGGCAAGAGTGGAGGGCAACCAGGCTGCTGGAATTAGGGCGAGGGAGTTCATTCACTAAGCAATACAGGGAACTAAACTTAACTAGAGGTTGGAGAGGCGATTGGAAGAATTAAATATATATCTATCCCGACGGAAAGAGAGAGAGAAAACAACAGAAAAGCTGTCTATGAATTGGTCAGTTCAAGGGATATTTGAACTCTGATTACAAAACACAAAACTGTGTTGTTCTACAAAAAGTACTTTTAAAAAACTTATAGGTTGGAATTGACATTTATATTGAAATTTTATCCTTAAAATGCCTAGAAACATTTTTTACAAAATCTTACAGAAATATTGATTGATGTAGAAGCTTAAGTCCATATCCACACACACACACACACACACACACACACACACACTTTTTTTTTTTTTAATATAAGATACTATTGGGCACCTGGGTGACTCAGTCAGTTAAGGATCCTACTCTTGATTTTGGCTCAGGTCAGGATCTCAGGTTCTTGGGATAAGCTCAGTGTGGAACTGGTGCTGGGCATGGAGTCGGCTTGGTAGTCTCTCTAGCCCTCTTTCAGCCCACCCCGTTTGTTCCTTGCTCTCGAACTCTCAAAAAAAAAAGGGGGGGGATACTATTTTCTGTCCTTAAAAATAACTTTTTTTTTTTCATTTGATCGTTTAAACCATTACCAAGACTTCAAAATAATGATTCCCAAGGTGGGAGGGGAAATGGAGTGGAAACAAGTAATTGTAAAGAATAACCATAAAATTTTATGCAATGATGAAATTTTACAGAAGGCAAGTACCTAAGGACCATTTAATTACACATTTTTTTTTTCTTGCAAACACCATCATCCCAGGCCTCTGCTTTTAAGAAGTTTGAGTACATGGTTAATTGCACATAATGAAATGATTAGCATTGCCTCACATTTCCCTCCTTCTATCTTAAGTTCTACAGCTGGGTTTTAGCTAACTTCAGATTTCCTAATAAAGAAAAACCTGATAACTCCAAGGCAGACTCCAGTTTATTAATCTGAAAATGATTATTTTGAAATTACAGTGAAGAGCCCAGAAGAAAGACAGGCTCTTTAATCCTATTTGTGCAGATGAAGAAAATGTTTTCTAAGTTTACTCAGCTCTGTTTTTTTCAATCCAAAAACATCTCAGTTAAAAAAAAAAGTGTTAACATCAAGTAGTTTTCAACTTGAAAAGCATCTTTGAAATTCAATCATTTTCTCTCCTAGCTGTAGTCTGCTTCAGTTACCTCCTGGAAAATAGCATTTTTAGCAGATAATAGATTATGGAACAGTGGGTCTTAGGCTTTTGGATTTCCAGCACAAGTAAACTCTGTCCTCCTCCAGTGGAAAAACATGACTAAAGAAAAACAGGTTGCCATCTTTTACTTTAATTAAAAACAGTAGCACACATTAAAACAATTACCATCTACTGTCACCATTGTTTTATAAAGGGAAGGATTTATTTCAACACTAAAAACAAGGAAAGGAATACTATCATAATAGAACAGTCTTTTAAAACAAAATTAGCTTCGTGAAAAATTCATTGTGTTATACTTATTTTTCTTACCATGGGTCTGCTAACATCATCCCAAGGCATGGAGCTAAATTTTTAGCAACTACAGATGTGAGTTAAGAAAATATTTGGCACGATGAATGTGAGATACTTTGATTTATTAGGAGAGCTACAAGACTATATTTACAAAATCTATATTAGCCAAGACCAATTCCTTGCCTGAAATCTCACCACAAAAGAAGGAATCAAGAAAAATCTTGTGACAGCTAGCAGTATTATCTGTACTATTACGTCAGCTCATATGTCTGTTCCTGTTTTTTTTTGGTCTATAAATTTGATATTCACTTTTGAAAGAACCAAAGACAGCTAAGTAAAAATGAAATAATTATTTATTTAGTTGTTAATTATTATAAAATGGGCATCAGACAGTAAGAATAATTGCAAGTGAGTAAATTTGTCATTTAAAATAGAAAAAAACACATGCAAATAGTCTAGACATTTAACATTACTTTTGATCAGGAACAATGTAATATTTCTCAGGTTTCCTTTTATGAAATATAAAAATTTAATTATTTTCTTTAATGTTATTTGACAATAAATATTTTGGCTAAATGCAAATTAATGCAAAACAAAACAAAAACCATCCTTTTTTTTCAAGGTAAATATGCTCTCCTCTTCCCTTCTCCATTTCTGACTTTACTTTCCCCTCTAACCTGATTCCAATCCCCTTTACACCCCCTAGTTCTATTGAAGATGAATTATTTCATGAGTAGATAGAACCAAAACTTAACAAAAAGCATCATATGATAGACTCTGAGTCATGTTATGCCCATAGGATTTTACCACTGTAACTTAAGAATTTTGACTTTGTATATTTGTGTAGACAAATTAAATTACTTGTGTCCATGTGTATTCTGAGTATTCTGAGGAAATTCTACAGATGTCATATTTTGGGTTATAGGAAGTTTTAGGGGAGAAGGTAGAGGTTTAGAGAGTCCCAAATGATGCTATGTTAGTACCAAAATACCACAACAGGTGTATGCCATGGGCCAGGACTGAGTCCCTCGACTATAGCAGTGCTTGGGATAGGGGTGGGAGTGGAGTGGACCGTTTGAGAGATATGGATGGTGAGATGAGGCTGAGAAGGAGTGAATGTGAGACTTGTCCACTTAACACTTCTGTCCAGGAATGGGGTCTGACTCAGGCTTTAATCACTGTTTTAGTCTCTGTTCATAACTTGGTTTTTGATGGGAAGCCTAAGTCTTTCTGCAATCAGCTTGTTTGTATTAATGAGCCATCACTGCCTACAAGATTATTCCCCACAAGAACTCATGAAGCAAACTCAACATTAAAGATGAGAAGTGGGTTAGAAGGTTGCACAGTAGTAATATTACTACATGTCTTAGACACATCAAACACTGCTTGGAGTAAAAAAATTTTATAGCACCATGTAAGTGATCCTGTAATAATAGTCTGGGAAACCATTATCAAACAAATTAAATCTTTAAATATTATTTTTGCCACAGACCAGAAAACATGCCTAGAAACTTTTGCCCATCAGGATTCTGCCAAGAAGATACATATTTTATCCATGAATTTTATTTTTTTATTTTTTTAAAGATTTTATTTATTTATTTGACAGACAGAGATCACAAGTAGGCAGAGAGGCAGGCAGAGAGAGAGGAGGAAGCAGGCTCCCTGCTGAGGGACCCTGGGATCATGACCTGAGCCGAAGGCAGAGGCCTTAACCCACCGAGCCACCCAGGTACCCCTATCCATGAATTTTAGAAGCAGCTTTCTTATATCCAGGTACTTCTGTCTATGATAACTTCCTCTTCCTCAGTGTTGGTGTACTATTTGGGAAGGATACTTAAATGAAGTTTTACATGCTGATTCTGAGTCCACAGGGTAGCTTCATTTCTTTATAAGCCACCACATGGAAGCAGGTCATATGATCATTAGTGAGATAAAATCAAAGAAACTCTTTGGCAACTTTCATTAGGAATTAACAGTGTTCCAAACATCACAGTGAGCTGTTCAATGGGTCTCTAGTTTTGCAAGTCTCATAGGGTCTAAGATTCAGTCTCAAAGGTATGGGAGGGGAGAGCAGAACTTCTGAGGTTCAAAGTATAAATATCACTTCTTGACATATCAAGCAAATTTACAACGTTTAAAAATAATATTTTCCCCAGTGGTTTAATTATAATAATCATTTCTCCCTGGGTAGGGAGGTGGTCCAGAGCTGATACCACTCTGCCAACTTCCACTTGGTGCTTTCCACTTAGGGGGTCAAGGCAGCTACTCCAGCTCTCGCCAGTTCCCAGTCTTCAAGAGGGGGAGGGGCAGGGAGACTGAAGGAGTCACCTTAACCCATGTTGCATTGCTTCAGTTTTATTTTTCAGCTTTTTATTAAATAAAATTTACAAACACACATAAAGACAGAAATAATACAATAATGATCCCTCTACCATATTGTCATCACCTGGAGTTCATGATTGTTAACCTTCTGCCCAATTTGTTTCAACTCTTCTTTTCTTAAGTACTTTAATTTCAGACAACATATCATTGCCACCCTGAATATCTCTAGTGCTTTTCTGAAAAAAAGGAGATTTTACTCCCTAATCACTATACCACAGTCACATGTGTTAAGATCAATGCT